ATAAAAATGTCATTTCATTCATCATGAAGCAATACAAAGGTGACACCACGACACATTCACTTTAGCGCATCTGTTAATGAAAATATACAAGATAAAATTTTGCGCGTTCATGTACATCTACCACACCACAAAATGACACACAAATAAATCCGTGGAAAATACGGTGCGATGCAACAAAGCATACGCCATCGTTAAGATATAAAAAAGCTTCCTACCCAAGCACACACACAAATAGACCTCGTTACAAATAGCTGTACAGACATTCGCGTGTCCACATTCAAAATGCAGAAACACGTACGTTTCTAAAGTCGAGTCAAAAATATTTTAAAAATGACAAGCCTTGCGACTGCCCAGAATTTGGCACTCCTTACACACAACACACACACACAACACACACACACACACACAACACACACACACAACACACACACACAACACACACACACAACACACAACACACACACACAAGGACAAGAGTCTGCCCAAAGTGGTCACAAAAGTCAAGGAATCTGTCTCAGAAATATTGTAGCCAAAACAACACCCCACATCCCCCCCAAGAGTAAAAGACACAGACTAGCGCTTGTGTCATGCAGTCACAGGACACAGAAAACAGTACTGGCCCAAATACAGATCTGACTGTACCATAGACAAAACAAAACATCCGTATATATATAGCGAGTCTCAGCGTAGACACCATCAGCTCAATCTGGACACACTTATTACATCCCTCTTCTCTTCCTGGTCCCATCAACACATCGCCACACGCGACCTTGAGGTCAACCGGAATCTTTGACACTAAAATCTGGCATCCATCCCCACTTAACTACCACAGCTCCACACAACCGGTGTAGTTGCAGTGTAGGTTAATATGTTGACAAAGATTCACGTTACTTGTATGTTATACCTTCACAAAGATTCACATTACAAGTATGTAATAATTTCACAAAGATTCACATTACAAGTATGTAATAACTTCACAAAGATTCCTGTTACTTGTATGTAATACCTTCACAAAGATTCACATTACAAGTATGTAATAACTTCACAAAGATTCCTGTTACTTGTATGTAATACCTTCACAGAGATTCACATTACAAGTATGTAATAACTTCACAAAGATTCACGTTACTTGTATGTTATACCTTCACAAAGATTCCTGTTACAAAAGTATGTAATACCAAAGATTAACACCACAAGTACTTTTGTCTCAAATTTGGGAAAAATCCTCACAAAATCACAGATCAACAGAAACTGAACAAACCGTCCAGCCTAGCATTCATACCTGAGACCTGACCACTGCCACGCAGCCTGACAGAAAAACGGCCCCGCCCTCAACGCTCGTGTACACACCACCACCCCCCACACGAGTCCCAGACAGAGGATCAGACAAACAAAGAGTCACGGCATCGTGCGGGTCAAACACGACACGACGCCAAGTGGCAGGCACCGAGTGAATGGAATATTTGCTTTGCAGACGGAGGAGAAAGAACCAGCGGTACATCTCCCAAACATTGAACAACTCTCCAGATGTGTATCTCTCCCTCGCTCGCTCACGGCAACTTCGCGCGCTCGCTCACGGCAAAGTGACCGTGGCTGCATCAAACCTCACAACAGCTGAAGCAGAACACAGGTGACTACAGTTCTATACACACACACACGAGCACAGCAGGCAATTATTCATATCTATCTCCCCAAACATGGCAGCATTTGAATGTCATATGCTGTGATGAGAAATCAGACATTCGATATTTACAAACAGATGTAAAAAAAAATCCATTAAAGAAAAGCATTTATGAAATTTATTATCAAGTCGTTATCATGCATCATTGGATGGCAAATACCACAAGTACATATCTGTTTAAATGCAGTTCTTACTGAAATAGAAATATTCCCCATAGTCATTCTGTCCACCACTTCACACCAGCCCCCATACTTCGAGCTACAGATCCGTTGATCTCAGTTTCCTTATCTATACACCTTCAAGAAAAAAAAAGGGGGGGTGTGCCAACTTTTCATACGGTTCAGGTAAGTACCGCACAGCACTGGGTACACACATCAAAGTATAAACGTGGACGTCAGATTCACCAAACATCCGACTAATCGTCTTCTCCTCATCAAACCCGTCTATCACATAGCGTTCATTACTAACAGCTCAATCGGTCAAATCCTTCACTAAAAGTAAAAAGTGGGCTTGGGGCAGACAAATCTCTTGTGGGTCAACTTGACCGTTACAAAAAAAATAGCCTTCAAGACTCTTCCGTCCAGGCCGTTGATTTTGTTTTTTCTTCACAAACTGGCAGGAACGCCGTTCACCAATGAGAAACTTACCCTCGAGGTAGCAAACCCAACCCCACAAAACCCAAAGACCCACTGCGAGTTACCGCACAGACCACTGAATCATATTCAACACACAAAGCAGAGAGAAGAATTCTCCTGTACGAACGATGATCAAACAATCAAATGGTTTGCATGAACAGCTGTGACGAGCCTCCCAATCACTTCCCACAATCATCCACAATATTTACAATCACTTCATCACCTCTCCATCATCTTTCTCTCTCCGACAGCAACTCAGCACAAAGCTACATCGGCCCGAGCATCATGGTTGTGCCACATCCAAGCACACGTTCAGCTCACAGAAGTGAAGTATTCAGACGGACACTTCTACGTATCTGATAAATGACATCATATCTTACGCATGAGATAAATTACATTCTCCATCTACATGGTGCGTTCACGTGCAAACTCTGCAGCTTGCAACAACTCGAGGAAGAGTCACAATCATAACCAAGACTCACAATCATAACTGAATGAAGGAAATTTTTTTCACAAGCACTTCTGGACCCACCTTCAAAGTAAGAACATTCACACACCCACAGCAGCTAAGACACAACGTAACTCACTCTCTATACAGAAAACAATCAAAACCTTGCCATAAAAAAACTCAGACACTGCCATATTTTCTTCCACTGTAAGCACACACGCGTGCGAGAGAGAGCTGGTGAAACCACCCCCACAAACTCACACGCCATCCAGCACCTTCTCTCACACAGCCTCTCACAGGCCTCAACGGCTCACACTTTCAAGAACACAAACTCGTGCACACTTTTGGACAAGCGATGATCTCACCAGCTTTCTCTCCCACACAATCACTGTGTCCACCTCGGAAACTTCTCTCACCACAACAGCACCCTTCGGCTCAATCTACCGGCAGCACACTCACACATCCACATCTAGAGGAAAAAAGGAAAGTTGTTCCCACATCCGATCCGGACATTGGGGATTGCCTTGTTAGTGAGACAACTTCCTGGACCTTCGGCATAGTGTGGTAGGGTGGCCAGTTCCTTTCCACGCCGCCTTTACTTCCCCAACTTGAAGTCAGGTACCCATTACTGCTGGGTGGGCAGGAGGGGGCGAAAACAATCGCGTGTCCGAATCGAGGCCTGAACCCGGACTTTCCGCTTCAGAGACGAGCGCACTAACCGCTCCGCCACCACACCCTCACATCTACAGTAGAAAGAAAAAAAAAACAAAAACCCCAAACAAGTTCCACATGGCCCCCACCCAGTCGACCGTCGATGGCGCGACCTTAAGCCAGAGCGATGCCCTCCACTAGGACAGCCGAGTCGTCCTTCTTGTTCTGGTTGACGTTCTCCACGGGTTTGCTGGGAACCTCCACCGTCGCCTTCGTCGTCTGTTCCACCTTCGTCGTTTCTTTCACCGCGGTCGTCGCCACAGATTCTGCCGGAGCTTTGTCCCCGTCTCCTTTGTCTTTGTCCGCCTCGGGCGAGCCGTCGATGGCTGGTTTGTCTTCCTGGCCTTGTTCCACGGACTGGCGTTTGCTCATCTCTTGTTTGAACTTTTCCAGGTCGTCGGGGCTGTGGGTGGGGAGGGATGGGGCGGGGTGGTGGGGAGGGAAAGAGTACTCCAGGGTAAGTAAGTAAAGAGAAACAGGTTGACAATATCTGAAACTTAGTGTTGGAAAAAACCAAACAAGACAGACAGAAAAAAAAAAGGAGGAAAGGAAAGAATTGCCACATAACTCAAAAAGTACAAAGAAAAGATCTAAAAAGACTCAAACAAACACAAGAAATGTTCTGACAAACAGGACCCTCTGAAATGAAATGTTGCCGCGGTTGTTGGTTTCATGCCAGTACCAAACGGTAATTCCATTTTTCATCATGGGGTAAGGAAAAAATACACAAACATTCCTATTTCAGAAAGAACAACTGGAGAGAAGATCCTGCCCCTCATCTTCTATATATCTGTGAACTTGAGAAACAGTCAGGAAAAAGTCTTCCT